CAATAAGGGAAATAAGGGTTGTGAACTCCGATTCTGCAGCCCAGCTCATGTTGTATTTCCCCGATGGTGCAGGTTGTACATGCATAAACGGAAACCAAATAATAACCGCACTCCGCAAGATACAAGCGATGAATCCTGTGTTTATTGATGCAAAATCAAATGTACATCACAGCAAGCTCCTCAGACCAAAGAGCTCCAATGTGGCTTACTCATAGAGGAACCTGGGTGTCTCTAATCTCAATTGTAGGGGGACATGGTTAGGTCTTCCATGTCACATATGAGGTTTAGTTCTCTACACCACTCTTGGATTGTGGCGGTGTAAGGTTGCACATATACAGTATGTGTTTTAAACATGCACTGAATTGTTTTGTAAGATCCTAAACCCTTAGCATTTTTCTCCAATCAAACAACTGGTAAGGCAATTACAAAGCCAGGTGTTGTCACACCTCCCCTGTGGATGCACCATATTGTAGAATGAAAAAGTGGGTGACACCTCAATTATGACTTTGTGGGAAGGAGGGAGCCACACTGCTAAAAGGGAAATCTTGCCAATGTAGTCTACAGGAGATATAAAAAGCTGGTAGGATATTTCGGCTGACCAGAAATTATTCATAACTGAAATATCAGTTTTTGGAATAGTTCATATTAATGTGAACCTGTGCTTTGCCCATGCAGGACAAAGCAACAGGTACCCTTAGGCCCCTTTCAAACAGGCGCCTTCAGTTCCAATCCGCAGGGGATCAATGCACGGATCCCATGCTGATTGGAACAGATGTCATTATTGTGACATGTTGTGACATCATTGTGATATGACATGTGATGTTGGTCTATGGGGAATAGGATGTAAACGGACATGTGTCATAGTATCAGAAGTACAACCAAGTAAGCCAGGCGGCTCTAATCTCAATTGGGGAGGCACAAGGTGAGGTCTTCCATGTCACATATGAAGTTTAGTTCTCTACACCACTCTAGGATTATGAGGGTGTAAGGTTGCACATATGTGTGTGTTTTAAATGTGCATTTAATTTGTTTTGTAAGAGCCTAAACTCTTATCACTGATCCATTTGTTTTTCCAGACCTGGCTTTAGCTGAAGGTAACCAGATGTAAACGGACGCACGTCCGTTTAGATCTGGCTCCCCATAGACTAACATTGGGCTTCCGAACAGGTCCACCTGAAAAACTGACAGGCGGACCTGATTGTAATGCCCATGTAAAAAGGCACCTTAAATGCCACCCTCAGCCTCACAAACTTACCATATAGTTTTGCTCCCCCGCCTATCCAGCTGGTAGTGAAAAGTAGATATGTTTGAGCTCCAAGTTCCAATTTGTTCCATGGGGCTGAGAACTCTATCCTTGCCACCATTGGACTGTGCTGGGTGCCTGAATGGTCAAGAACCAACGTTATGACTTAGTTACATAGTATTTGAGGTTAAATAAAGACATTAGTCCATCAAGTCCAACCTATTAGGATCTCATTCTAGGAGTACCTGTACCCCTGTATATTACCTGTACCCCTGTATATTACAACTATTTTTATTGTTATTATTCTGCCTTGATTTCGGTCGTCCGACTTGAGAGGGATGGGAGTGAGTCCCATATTCCCCTATAACTAGAAGTACCAGTTTTTTTTTCACTATATTCACAGCTATAGTACCTGTTTTGCTTGATGGGGCATTTTCAGATGTTATACAAGGAGTCTGTGTATTGGTACATTTAAAGTGCATCTTAGCCCAAACTTTTTTTTTTAAATTGGGATACAATTGTAACTGTTTAGAACCCCTGTCAGGTTTTCTTGCTGTCTGGAGCTCCAATCTTGGATGGTTACCATGTAGAACCCTAAAAAACATAAACATTTTACATATTAAAAAGGAATTTTCATAAGCAGCACATTATTAATTACAAGAGACGTTCTTTTCTTGGAACACTTCACCAGCTTGACTGACCGCAAGACTCCCAAATACCTCACTGTAGAACAAGGAGACCAGATTATCCAGGAATCCAGAGAGCAAAACATTTGTTCTAATAACAGATTTCTTCAGAGTCATTGTAACAAAGGAACCTGTTATTATAGAAAGTATCTAACATCAGTAGTCTCATTCAATAATTAGTAAAACCCATCATTATGTTTCTTTATCAGACATGTATGTAAGTCAAATAACATTATGGAATATTATGAAAAGAGCAATTTTGGTAACAGGGGTGGGGAATACCGTTCTCATAGTTTTTATACTGAGAGTTTCTGCTGTTCCAGCTCAGCTCAGGCCCCCGCAGTCTGCGTGCTCATTGCATGTAGCTGTGTGATTTATAATAATTAGATTCAGTGCAGCGGAAGGGATTTTCTGCAAAGGAACTCAAGATAAAATTTGTCTTTGCCTGGAACGCCAGATCGATATCTTCTGTAATGCAACAACAATCCTGAGTGTCATAAATCTGTTGATGTGACAGAGGTCACGGCGCTTCCACCTTCACATCGGTCTACTCCTCTTCTAAATTCATATGCACCTGCCAACGAGTGCAGAAGGAAAAAAAATGCCTTTGTGATTTTGTCACTGACATTGGCATGTCAAAAATGGTCATTTCAGTGTGCTTAATGGGAGGGGGTTTTTTTGTGGTTCTTTTGGTCCCTTCATTGACATCAGAACTAAATACCTCTTTAGGGGTCATTACACCAGTGTTTGGTAGATGATGGAGTGTTAACTTACCTGACAGCTTCCTCTATGGGGACATTATTGCCGAGATATATGCGCTGAGTTCCTAGACTGCACATTTACTGTGACTACTGTAGGGATCTTCCATCCAGGAATGAATTGAAATGTAACAGGTTCCCACAAAGGTGGATGAGAACACCCAAAACTCCCATATAGACAGGAGCAGGGCTGGGAATTAAGGCAGGAGGATCTAATGGTTGGATGATCATGTGCACATGAAAAGCCAGGTGAATGAAGACTTAAAAAAGAGCAGCAGGTAATTCTCTTCTTATGGTGCCTTTGTTGTTATTTTGAAGGTAGGGTAACGTTCCTCTTTAAGATGGAGCAGAATTAATTTACAGGCTAAGAAGAAAACCCTTTTACAGCAAACCTATCATACAAAATAAAGTGACACTAAACTCATCTTAAAAATACATTAAAGTACTTTAAATTGACATTAAACCCTCAGATTCTTTAACATAAAACAATACTGTAATGTGCGCCTTACTGTAATCCATGGTAGTTTCCCTTCTCTTTGCTGCTCTTCCTTTAAATCCTCATATCTTCTCATGCTGGGGGAGAACTTCCTTTTGCAGCTGAGTGCCTCTTCCTGTAGTGCTGGCTCAGGTTGTGAACCTACACACAGACAACATGTATCCATTTCAGAGACAATGCAGTCTGCTGCAAAACAGAAGTTCTGCCCAGCATGAGAAGAGATACGGATTTAAAAGGAAGAGCAGCAAAGAGAAGGGAAACAACCATGGATTACAGTAAGGCGCACATTACAGTATTGTTTTATGTTAAAAAATCTGAGGGTTTAATGTCACTTTAACTATAAACAAAAATGTATCTTATTTGTGTATCACTCGGCTGCAGATCCTCAAATCATCTCTGAATTGGTGCTGACACTGTCCTTCCTTCTGGAGGGGGGCTACTTTTGTTCCACATGGTCCCTATGTGTGTTGTAGAGTAGTCACCGCTCCAAGCTCGCTCCCGGGATGGACTACAATGTCATGTTTACTCATTTGTATTGAAATTGTAGTCCATCACAGGAGTGAGCTTGGAGTGGTGACTACTTTACTTTACTTTACTTTAGAGTACCACCGCTATTGACCTCCCACAGTATCTAACTCCTGGCAGACACTTTTATTGCATGCTTGTTAAAGCTACCAATGCCCTGAAGAAGGGCGGGGGACACTGAAACACATTGGTTGTATAATCGCACAAAAAAGTAATGATGCCTTCATAACTGAATGTTTGACACATTTGTTTCATGGGGCATCTCACCAATTACACCAATTGCAACAGCCATAAAAACTTGACATGAGTTTTATTCCTTACCTATGCTATCCAACATAGAAAAAAAAACATTCTAACCTTGCCTGGATTTGGTTCGCTTGGATGTTCTCTCAATCCAGCTAGTAATCCGGGTTCAGCGAATATCCAAGCAATCCAAAGGTAGGTCCACCTGTGTCCTAGCAACCAATGATGCCCAAGGATGTAAGTGGCTGGACCGCACAGCATCATATGTTGCTAGGTCACAGGTGGGCCAACCATAACATACAAAGACACTATAGGGCCACCATCATCTTAACAACCAATGACGCTGTGCGGCCAGCACAACGGTGCATTGTGGTGCACTGCAAGAGAAAAAATTGTGGTGTGTTATTAGGTCCTTTGTGGTTTGTTGGCAGGCCATTTAAATAAACGGACTACCTTAATGCAACAAGCCCTAACCCGCGACATAACGCTGGTTGAATTATGATCAGCAAACTGGCCTGGGTTCGGCTCACTTGCATGTTCACTAAACTCAGAACTGTTTGTGTCCTAGCAATCAATGATGCTGTGCGATCCCCATAGCGTCTTTGGTCGCTAGATGCTGGCGACTGGGCCACACAGCATCATTGGTTGCAAGGGCTCAGGCAGGCACACCACCACAATCAATGACACTGTGGGGCTGCCAGCGTCTTAGCAGGTTTATTATGGTGCTCCCACCTGCGTCCTTGCAACCAATGACACTGTGCGGCTCAGCCACCAGTCAACCAATGGCCACACAGCGTCAATGGTTGCTAGAACACAGACGAAGATTCAGTATTGGGGCAAAATTGCCCCAACGCTCGCCCATTCGGGTTCGGGTCCAACTCATGGTCAACCGAAACCTGAAGCTCATTCCTACTAGAAATATATTTTAAGAAACATATAAATGATGAATGTTTATAGCACAAGATAAACTGATGCATACTATTTGCTGATATTTAGGAGGTGTGGCTACTCAGAGCGCCTTTTCTGATTGGTCAGTTTTGTTTTTGCAGTTACGATCCCGGCATGCTGTGTAGAGGAGACGTGGTGGCATTTCCTGCTCATCGTCCTCGCGGCTGTAGTCCTCTTTATAGTGGTTATTCTCTGCTACAAAGCAATAAAAAGGTGAGTCAGTCGGCTTTCTGTATCTTCCCATCAAGACTGGGGGGTAGGGAATCATTGGGATCATTGTTGATTCTTATTGTTATATGTTGTGTTATTAGCTGTTGTTCTTTTCTTATTATTCTATATTATCATTATAACATATTTATAATGAAAAAAGTTATTGCACAGCCTTGTTTCTAAACATGGGCTCTTTAATTGAAAACATATATTTTTAAGGTCCTAAGCCATCCCAAAAATGTGTTATTTGGTTTGAATTTAGTAGGGAAGGGTGAGAACCAACTTTTATTGCTGTTCATGTCCCCAGATTGGAGATTTCTCTTCACTTTGGTTTTGAACAGAACAGGAAGTGAGTATCACCCTTCCCACTTCCTGTCTGTTGATTGATGGGTGTCAAAATGAACAGGAAGTGAGGGAAAATCTTCCCACTTCCTCTCTATTCCACAGTTATCAGGCAGTACAGTGAGAAAAAAAATCTATTAATATCTATTTGACAGGAGTCAGATGGAACAGGAAGTGAGGGCAATCTCCTAACTTCCTGTCTGTTTCATGGTTATCAGACAATGCAATTTTATAACCATTTGATATCATTCAGATGGATCAGGAAGAGAGGGGAAATCTCCCGTTTTTCTGACAGATATTAAGTGAGGGCAAATCTTAGAGGCATATTGTAGGGATGCACCGAAATTGTAGCCACCGAAACATTTTGACAGAAAATGGTACTATGGGTAAGATGCCGATAGTACCAAAACTGCCAAAAATTAGGTGCATGCCTAGCTTCTCTCCTCCCTGCTGGGCACCAGTCTGTGTCTCCTTTGATCCCCGCTGCTCTACACTGCCTGTGTGGGCAGAGGCAGCTTGAATCAGAAGGGACACAGACAGGCGCCCATCGGGGAGAAGAGAAGCTGTCAGGAGTCTGAGCTGGGCGGTGCAGGAACAGAGCTAGGCTCCTGTGACAGGCAGAGCAGACAGGATGGAGAGCGGAGTACAAACACTCAGGAAGCTATACTGATTGCTGAGTGTTTGTAAATAACTGAGGACATAGTAAGCTTTCTGTGTTCCCAGATATGAATAAACAGGAAGTGCTCTACATCACTTCCTGTTCATTCATAATTGTGGACATAGTAACTGATACTATCTCCTCAGTTTATGAATGGATAGGAGCACTCAGTATACAGCTGACAGTGAGCTAAAATAAATGCCTGGACAAACGGGGGCATTTGTATAACCACTGCAGATTAGAAACTGGCAGCCGGTAATGCTGACTTCCCGCTATTTACTTATTTCACACAGCAGTACACATTACACGTGGGTGCATGATAGTGAGGATCATACAGTGTACATGAACATAGCAATCTTCTAAACTGGGCAATGTAATACTCCATCTTTTATTTCGATAAAGATTAACAAACTGGAATTGTGCCATTTCCTTGGTGGAGATTAACCTCGTGTGGTTCCTTGATTGCTCATCTGGTGGTTGAATACATTTCTCTGCAATGCATTAAAGGAGAACTATGGGGTTAAGGCTTTTCCCCATAGTTCTCCTTAGGGTAACGGGAGGACACAAACTAGCGCCCTCCCGTCACCCTAGGCTCAGTATACCGCGAGCTGTAGCTCCCTATATACTGAGACGCCGCAGACCAATACCTTGTCACTACCTATTATTAGTCAGTGGAGGGGTATCACATGAGGGAATATACTGTTTTCACAATTTAGTTTTCATACAAATACATTTGAGTTTCAGATTTGACACATTCGAATTTAGATATTTTCATTTATATCGAGATACATTAGATACATCAGATTACATACATTGATTTATATTATGATACATTGATACATTAGATTAGATACAAGAAATATACAAAGAGACACTCAAGCATTCAAAACTTCCTCTGTCCCTAAGGCTGGGTTCACACCTGGGCGTATTTTTTCTGCTCGTTTTTCAGCTCGTTTTTTTTTCCGCGTTTTTTAGCACGTTTTTCCGTTCAGTGAAACGCTCGTTTCACTGGTGGTATGATTTTCTTTTATTTTGATTTATTTTTTTGCCTTATTTTCTCTATTTTTAAAAAAGTTTATTTTTTTCCCACTTTCAAACTTCCCACCGCCTCCGCCCCCCTGCGACGCGGCCGCTCGCAAGGGACGGAACCCGGAAGTCGGCAGCGGCCTGGAGGACACAGCGGGGATCGCGGACAAGGTAAGACCTGTACGAGTATGGTGACAATGTGGACTGCATGGATTGATCTTGTCCCGAAAATATCCAACAGCGCTTATAGAATGATTTGATCTTGTGAAAATAGAAATTGAATTCACTCTGTGAAGGCTGATCGCACATCTTAAGCTGCCCATACACCTTGCGATCATCGGACGACCCTTTTCGTCCGATGATCAAACCGTTGTATGGCGGCCCCATCCTGCCCCGATTATCGCAAGGTTGGATCAGCGGTAATTAGAAGAAAGCACCTGGTCGAATTGCGGTAATCGGCAGCACGTATTTTCGTCTGCGCATGTGCAGTGTAGATCGTACGCATTTTGACGTACGGAAACGCCACCAACCTTGCGAAAATCATACGATGGACCGAAGTTTTCTAACCTGCTGGTTAGTCAAAAGTCGATGGATTGTACAGTATTTGCGGTTGTACACTGCCCATCAACTTTACGAATATAGGACAAAAAACACGATCGCATACGAAAATCGGCCGATATTCCCAAAGTGTATGGGCACCTCTTACAAGCCGATTGCCGAGGTAGCCACACACGTGTCATTATTCAATCAGTATCAACCGCATTCTAGCCACCAGGAATTGCGCATATGAACGCATGCAATTGCCATAAACAAAGTACAAAATACAAACAAAGAAGTTTACCATCAACGAGTTTGATTGACCAACAGAAAAAGGTCGATTGTGAAATCAGAAGTGTGCACTAAGTTGACAGCTTCAATAAAGTTTATTTAAAGATCGAAAATGTCAATATCTATGTAGAGCAAGGGTATGTCTGATTGGACGTACATTGAGCAGATTGTCTAGGTAAGCCCTTGTACTAAACTAGATTGCATAGAAGTTGTACAATCAGTTTGCACTACCCTGGCCATTCATGTGGCAACTTTCAGGCAATTTCAACCACTTGCGATCAATAGGGAATTGAACATATGGCCGAAAGTGGTTGCCTGAATCTAAGCAATCAACCATCCATAGATTTGATTGTCTATCTGAATTTTATTGACTCAACTGGGCTAAAAAAATGGCAGCTTCGGTACGGCTTTTTACTAAAAGCAATTGAAATCATAAGTTTGACGTAAGCAATCAGGGCTTGATTGGAATAAATTTGATCCCATCTCCTTGCGCTCAATTACGACCACTAATCTATGCATTCAATCGCTCAGGATTTTGATTCCAGTGGTTGAAAATTGTCAGGAAGTATATGTCCACTAATAGACTAAAGGGTCTATTTATAAACAATTTGCAGAGCCATTTGACCTGTGAATCTCTATGAACATTTGTTCTGTGCGAATATAGGCAAAAACGAGTGTTCTTAGTATATTTTCTTTTCATGCCCAATGTACTGTAATACAGTATAATAATATAGTAATACAGTACTGTAATAGATGACACTGAGGAGCACCGGAAAGAAGTATTTATTTCCTAAGTTTCTCACCTCCATCTAGTGGCCATAATGAGGTATTACATTACATTGGGCTTGAAAAGAAAATATACTAAGAACGCTTGTTTTTGCACATATTCACACAGAACAAATGTTCACAAAGATTCACATTTCGAATGGCTCTGAAAATTATTTATAAATACACCCCTTTCAGCTCATCCAACAAAAATGGTTGGATCAGCAACCATGAAGCTAATGGCTACCTCCAATTAGGAACAAGCAAAGTTTAGAGTTTTAATTTCCTCTTAATTGGACGTTTTCTTTGAAATGTCGACATTTTGATTAAATCCACTGGAGTCATTCAGGACAGACCGCCAAACCGATCATACTTTTTTTACTTAAGCGGAGCAGCTGAACGTCCTGGACACATGTTGAAGTTCTCTGGCTGGCTTCACATGCCGAATGAATAAAGTTTGTCCTTTATTCCGCCTGATGCTGCGATTTCCTGTTTTGTTTTTTTTTGTGACACAGAAATACATTTGACAGCACGTAACGAAAGCCAGCTACTCTGCGCAGTGAGAGAATGACCTGGGATATTTTTAAACCCGGAGAAAATTGCAGATGGGAAAATTAAACAATGTTTATTTAGATTTAGCAGCAGATCCAGGAAACTGACATTCAAGGATGAATTGCAAACAGGGACCAGCTGACGTCAGGCAAATCCAGCTTGCCACTCGCTCTTATAAACAATAGTTTTCTCCAGGTGTTGTGCCGATACGTTGACTTTGTTCCTGACTGCAACGTGGCACATGTTGGTCACATCATAGAAGTGTAGTAACTGTAATTACAGCGTGTAATAGGATTGCTGCTCCATGTATAATTGTATTATGATGGCATCCAGTGGTTGGTGATGTTGGTGGTGTGGTGTCCTATATATAGAGTGTAATAGAATTATATTATGATGGTGTCCAGTGGTTGGCCATGTTGGGGGTTGTAGTGTTCTATGTATAGAGTGTAATAGAATTGTATTATGTTGGTGTCCAGTGGTCGGTCATGTTGGAGGTGAAGTGTTCTATGTATAGAATGTAATAGAATTCTATTAGGATGGCGTCCAGTGGTCAGTCATGTTGGAGGTTGTAGTGTTCTATGTATAGAGTGTAATAGAATTATATTATGTTGGTGTCCAGTGGTCGGTCCTGTTGGGGGTGTAGTGTTCTATGTATAGAGTGTAATATAATTGTGTTATGATGGTGTCCAGTGGTCGGTCATGTTGGGGGTATAGTGTTCTATGTATAGAGTGTAATAGAATTATATTATGTTGGTGTCCAGTGGTCGGTCATGTTGGAGGTTGTAGTGTTCTATGTATAGAGTGTAATAGAATTGTATTATGATCATGTGCAGTGGTAAAAACGAATGCAGGCACCACATTTATTGACTGGTAAACTGTAATATATTGATGGCCAGTTTACATACTGTATATGGGTGGTGGAAATGCACATGCATTCACATGTTACATGCATTGATGCATTGCGGTGCCATGCATGTTGAATTGCACCCTAACACACTAAGGCAATGTGCATGTGCTGCAATGCATGGCACCGCACCATAGTGCATTGCAGGGAAAATGTTTTTGACGGCCGATTTATGGAACGTTTTGATGCATCTAAACCCCATGGATTTCAATGTCACGTATTAACAAACGCGCATTGACACACCGCACAAGTGTAAATGGGTTCTTAAAGCTTTTTAGGTTTACATTCACTTTCATTTCTTCAAGTCTGACAAATCTGCTCTCTGCCAATATCTGCCTGTATGTGGCCACTGTGGCCGATTCATCTGAAGATGGCGCCCAGCTGTCAGGTCATGTTAGAGCTACAGCAACAGGCCGTTAAAAATCTGCGTACTCTTCCTTTTCCAACGCTATAACGCTCAGAGCATAAAGGTGTCCTCTGACCCTGAAAGGGTTTATGAATATTCATCTGAAATTGTGACAGGCTTCGCACCCTGCACGCTTCAGCGCACTAAATACTCACATTTATTGCAGCGCTGGGAAATGGAGTGAGGAAAGGGGAAGAACATTTCTGTGATGGCACCCCGGCTTTTATTGTGATTGATGACAAGGCAGATGGCACGAGCCCAGAAGTTTGCCTAAATATGAATAATAAATCTTCCAGAGGCGGGGAAGGTGAAGACTGTAGATGATAGTCGGTAGGAAATACAGTGTACGGGCCTGGGAATGGGAATCACATGTCTGGTGTTTTGGCTCATTTTCCTGCCCCCCCTTGTGGGATGTCTTGTGCGGCTTTTTATTACAACCTTAAAGTGACTCTGTCACTAATTAAAATGATCCTCATTAAGGCATTAATATAAAAGAAGTAAACGCCCACCATGCGGTGCCAAACACTCCAACAATCCCGAGAAATCTTTCCCTGATGGGCAAAGAAATGTGTTTGTGGGGCATTGGACACAAATTTAAGGAAGATAGGCTTGAAATTCTAATTTCAAAGTCAGCCCTCTGTCATTGTGGGTATCCTTGGAGGTTCCCAGAGAAGTCTGAAGAGTGAAGAAGAGGAGAGAGCACTACAAATTGAATAGAAGTCCAGTAAGTCTTTATTCTACATGACAACAAGGTCAGGAAAGACAGCTAACACATTTTGGGGACTCAGAACGTCCCCTTCACCAGGGCTTCAATGCTAGCAGTGAGGGAAAAAGAGTACTGGACAAGAAAGAGGATAAACGATGTGTTGATTCAGGTCCCTGGCTGCCAGAATGGTGACCCAAATCAACACATATTTTACCCAAACTCTTGCCCATTACTCTTTCTCTATTACTGCCAGCATTGAAGCCCTGATGAAGGGAGAGTTTTGAGTCCCCAAAATACATTGGCTGTCTTTCCTGACCTTTTGTCTTGCTCAATAAAGACTTACTGAACCCATATTTATATTGTGGTGCTCTCATCCCCTTTACATGTAGCGCCCCGTTGTTACACCACCAGCCTACTGTGAAAACAGTTCCAGGGAAAGGTGATTAGAAACCCGATTTCATTGCTCTGTCTCCACTTTCTTGGGCCTATGGGTCATGTCAACCTAGTTGCAAAAATGACAGGTCCTTTTTTTAACAGGAACAACTCCGAAGCTGCTTGCAGTCACTCAGTTTATTGCACCTTGGTGAAGCCCTAATATGGAAACAGTTACTTTAACTATGGGGATATAGATACCCATCTGAATTGAGGGCAACGTTTCCCGTAAAATTGTAGTAAAATACATTGTTTTTAACTGCCGGCTACAATTCTTCCTGCAGCCAATTGTAATCCAACTAAATGATATAGGCTCTCGGTTATCTCTCTGTCTGCTGCAGTGCCCTCCCAACACTGCTGAAAGAGACAGGTTTGTGTGTTGCAAGCCTCAGTTTCCTCCCATAGTGATATAATTGCGGAGAACAGCAGCTGAAAAGAATTGATTGTTTACTGCCACTACACTGCGCTAATTGCTGCCTCTCTCCGCGGGAGGCAGTTAAGAGCTGGCTGATTATCAAATCAGCCCATTAGTAAAAGAGGATGCTGTCATATCGCAGGTCAGAAGGAAAACTTTCTGTCTTCTCTTACTGGCAGTTATGGTGTGATTTTCTGAGTTACATTGCAAGTCGGACTTTCTCTGTATTTTATTTGTCCTTCCTTTTCTTTCATTTCCTATCATTACTCTTTCTTTCCTTTCCTTTGTTTCTTCTTACCCATACTTCATTCCTTCCTTCCTTTCTCTTCCTTTCTTCCTTCTTTGCTGCCCTCCTTTCCTTTCTTCTTTCCTTTCTCTTCCTTCTGGCTTCCCTTCTTCCTTTCTTCTTACCTTTCCTTTATTTTTTCCTTTCCCTTCCTTTCTTGCTTCTTTGCTTCCCTCCTTCCTTTCCTCTTTCCTTCTTTGCTTCCCTCCTTCCTTTCCTCTTTCCTTTCTTCCTTCTTTGCTTCCCTCCTTCCTTTTCATTCTCTTCCTTTTTCCTTCTTTGCATCCCTTCTTCTTTTCTTCTTACCTTTCCGTCTTCTTTGTTTGCTTCCTTCCATTCCTCCCATTCTTTTCTCTTCCTTTCCTTCTTCTTTGCTTCCTTCCTTCCTATCTGATTTCCTTTCTCTTCCTTTCTTCCTTCTTTGCTTCCCACCTTTCTGTTCTTTCCTTTCTCTTGCTTCCTTCCTTGCTTCCCTCCTCCCTTTCCATTCTCTTCCTTTTTTCCTTCTTTGCTTCCCTTCTTCCTTTCTTCTTACCTTTTCTTTCCTTCATCTTTGTTTGCTTCCTTCCTTTCCTCCTTCTTTGCTTCCCACCTTTCCGTTCTTCTTTCCTTCCTTGCTTCCCTCCTCCCTTTCCATTCTCTTCCTTTTTTCCTTCTTTGCTTCCCTTCTTCCTTTCTTCTTACCTTTTCTTTCCTTCATCTTTGTTTGCTTCCTTCCTTTCCTCCTTCTTTGCTTCCCACCTTTCCGTTCTTCTTTCCTTCCTTGCTTCCCTCCTCCCTTTCCATTCTCTTCCTTTTCTCCTTCCTTGCTTCCCTCCTTTCTTCTCACCTTACCTTCCCCCTTCTTTCCTACCCCGTCTCACTTTTCCTTTCCCTTTCTCAATACTC